TACAGCTGAGATATTACCTGTTTGGTTGGAGAGTATTCTACAGAACTGATACTAAAAGACCCAGTTCAATTATGACTTCAATCTTTGCAATTGACCTGACATTTTTTTTAACTTTCACTTACAGATTTATCGATTTTGTTTGATGTAAAAGACATAATGGTAGATGTCCACGCAAAACTACAACCCCAAGAGGACACAAAGGTTAACACTTTTTTGAAGTAAGTACTTTTCTGTGTTCTTGGACAGTCTGCTCCAAAATCACAAATTATTTTGGCTTTGCTTCATCAATAAGTATTTATACAATTTTATGTTGATGAGATGCAAAGGCATATAAATAGCAATGCTTAATTTGTTTTGATGTTAGATACTTTTAACTAAAGTAATTTAGCATCCTTATGCAGAAAATAACTATTATTTCAGTTTAAATAAACATGCTTTTAATTATGTATTCTTTGTTAAGTGTTTTTGGTTCATTAATGTATTTGGTTAAAATGTACTTAACTTACGGTTACCTCAACATTTATGGTCTGGTTTCTTTTTATGGCTAATCTTCTATAAAAGGAAGAAAAATAGTCATCAGTAGCAAGTCTGTATATTTTTACATTTACAAATAGAAAGCACATCATGGGCTGTACAAAGCACCTAAAGAACCTAAAATTCTACAATTTTTTTTTAAACCTAAATGCTACTTAACTTATATGTAGGTTCAATTACTTAATAATATATTTGTATATTTATATTCAGTTAACACCTATCCTTTATTGCACTGTGCACATTTTGGCTATCTGCTTCAGGGATGTAAAGCTTGATAATTTATATAAAAAAAAAACTTTTATTTAATATTCATGTATATATTAAACTAATACAAAGCTATGCTTTGTTGTTTACCCTTAGTCTTTAAATAAATTTGAGAGACTTGAGAGGTTCAAGGTTTAAAAGTTTAGATTTTCAACAGGACTAAAATAATGAATCTGGAGACGGAAAAAAGAGAGCTGGTTGGAGTCTTTGGGAAATCCGGAGCTGGAAAGACGTCTTTGATAAATGCTGTCATTAAAGAGGAAAGGCTTTTACCATCTGGAAGTCTCAGTGCCTGTACCTCAGTCATGATCAAAGTGGAGGCTAACAGGCTCAACCATAAATATGAGGCAGAGATTGAGTTCATCACAAAAGAGGTCAACTATGGATATATTTTTCTTTCTTTTGAAATACATTTGTTTTTCAACTTTATAATAATTTTTATTTTTTTTTCAGGAGTGGGAAGATGAATTGAGCAACAGAGATCAGTTTCTTAAGGATAACGAAGATCAGGAGAAAGATGAAGAATATAATGATGAATATCATGATCTTGTTGAAAAACTGTATGCAATTTATGGGGAAGACTGGAAATGGAAAACTACTGAGCAACTCATGGAGCACAAATACTTCAGGGAAATTCCAGAATTCCATCAGTCGATACAAAAAACTTTGACGTGTGAATCAGTAAGAAAAATATATGTTAATCAGTTATCTAATGT